GTAGTAGTAGTCGTCGTCATCGTAGTAGTCGTAGTAGGTAGTGGTGGTAGTAGTAGTAGTAGTAGTAGTAGCAGTAGTAGTCGTAGTAGTCGTAGTAGTCGTAGTAGGTAGTGGTGGTGGTAGTAGTAGTAGTAGTAGTAGTGGTAGTAGTGGCAGCAGTAGCAGTAGTAGCAGCAGCAGCTGTAGGAGTAGTAGTAGTAGTAGTAGTAGTAGTAGTAGTAGTAGTAGCGGCAGTGGTCGTAGTAGCAGTAGTAATAGCAGCAGGAGGCGGTCGTCGTGGTCGTGGTGGGGAGTGGTGGGGAGTAGTCGTGGTCGTCGTAGTGGTCATAATAAGGATGGTAAAGGTAGCAGGCCATAGCAGCAGACGTAGTATAGTAGTGGTCGTGGTAGTAGTCGTTGTAGTAGTAGTCGTCGTCGTCTTAGTAGTGGGAACCACGACGTAAACCTTCGGTGCGATTCTACCTTTACTTCTACTGCTGCTTCTACTCCTGGTGCCGCCGCTCCTACGACGGCTACTACTGCTGCTGTTGCTACTGCTTCTGCTCCTTCCAGCACAAGTGCTGGCTTTTGCTTTCCTCTACCACACAGTCTGCTACGAAGACTATGAGCATGGTACATGAGCATATGACGTTTTCTTACAGTCCTTGTCAGGAGGTCTATGCCGCCAGATCGAAGGCCCTCCGAGGGCTGCCTTCGGAGTGCCACAGTTGTCAGCGTTTACCCCAGGTGTCGAGAAACCGCAAATTGAGCTAAAGTCTGCTGGTCGAGCAACCAGTTGACTTGTGATGTCAGTCCCAAGCCCCTCAGCCTCAAGCGCAAGTTCCAAAAACATTGATTCCATGCCGGAATGAGAATCGTCCTCGTCATGCTCAACGCCCTACCAAGCCTTCGGGTTCATGGAAGATGTTGTGTATAGCAACAGTACATCGGTGAACAGTTGCAGCTTGAGCTTTTGGAGACGGTGTCTACAGCAGTCTGGGAGCATTAAACATTCGTAGATTGCTGAGCCTCTAGGTCAACCCTTAATGCTGCAGGTTTTGGAAATCCGACCTTCGGAGTTGTGCTGTCGACACTCAAAAGGCTTGCATCCTGAAAAATCGAAGTCCTGGACCATTTGCTCCTGGGTTTCAAAGAGCATATCCACCGGAGGCTCCGGCAAGTACCATTCTGACATCTACGGTATCCATCCCCCCAAGTGGCTGGGCTGCAGGATTTTGAAGCGGAGGTTAATTGCAGTCTGTTGGGGTCATTTTCAAGGTACTTGTCGTACTTGTCTGGACAGTGGCTGTTGAATTGGGATCCCGAAGCTTGGGCCCAGGGGTTCAGGGTTCAGGGCCTTTTGCGTGTAGGAGTGTCAGGTTTAGTAGTAGAGTAGTAGAGTAGCAGTAGCAGCAGCAGCAGCAGCAACAGCAGCAGCAGAGTGGCAGCAGTAATAGCAGTAGCAGTAGTAGCAGTAGTAGCAGTAGCAGTAGCAGTAGCAGTCGCAGTCGCAGTCGCAGTAGCAGTAGCAGTAGCAGTAGCAGTAGCAGTAGCAGTAGCAGTAGCAGTAGTTGTAGCAGTAGCAGTAGCAGTAGCAGTGGCAGTAGCACCAGTAGTAGTAGGAGCAGTAGTAGTAGTAGTAGTACTACTACTACTACTACTACTACTACTACTACTCCTACTCGTGCTAGTGCTAGTACTAGTGCTAGTGGTAGTGCCAGTGGTAGTATTAGTCCTAGTAATAGCTGTAGTAGCAGTTGAAGTGGTAGCTGTAGTATCAGCTGTGCTAGTAGCTCTGGTATCATTGCTGCTATGTTTTTATGAATACTAGGAGTAATAGTAATGGTGAGTAGTATTGATATCAGTAGGACTAGTAATTAGCAGGGGTAGTTGCGGGTGCCATTTCTGTTCTGTTCTGTTGCAGGAGGAACAGTAGCAGCAAATAGTGCCTAATCATAGCAGCACTAGCAGCAGCAGCAGCAGCAGCAAGTAACAGCACGGAAAGATGCTTGGGGGATGCTTCCAACGTGCTCAAAGCAAGGGATGTCTTGATTCCTGCCAGAATAGTAGATGTAGCAAGACCTTCTACTGAAGCCCTAAAGGCCGGACTCCTCAATCTCAGCGGTAGTTCCTGAGATGTGTGCGCTGCAATGGTTCCTCAGGTCTTCAGTCCGGTGGTACAGAATCATACCACACTTCGGACGGGAGTGAGGATGGATGCCCTATCACACTTGGAACACTCCTTGATGGCCACTTGGAGTACAAAGGAGGGATCAGCAGAGCCTCCATGCTACTTCCAAAATACTACTGCTACCGCTACCACTACCGCTACCACTACAACCACGACCACTACCACCACGATAACTACCACTACTGCCACTCCTCCTACTCCTTCTCCTACTCCTACTCCTACTACTACTACTACTACTACCACCACTACTACTGATTGCAGCTACGGTCGGAGCCGGAGGTTCACGTGTGACCTACGAGCCCGAAATGCATCATCGCTGCTACTGAGGCATCATCACTGCTACCGGAGTCGTAATCGACCATCGTTCTCATCATCCTGAATGCTAAATCGGCTCCCTATGAAATGTAAACCCCCGTGCCGACGCCTTAAACCGTGGACACACACCCTGTGCCAATTTGGTAGACGCAGTTGCTGCTGCCGCGGCATACTGTGAAAACTTTTACCGCGATGACGAAGTTAGCGACGACGATTGCTAGTGCTACCTCTACAGATACTGCTACTGCTACTACATGTACTGCTGCTGCTCCTCCTGCTCCTGTTACTGCTACCGCTACTGCTATTGCTGCCACTACTGCTACTGCTACTACTCGTACTGC